AATGTTATTAACTGCCTAAGGTCTTTGCTATAGTTATATAATCGACTAATTTTTTTTCATCTTAGATTTATGTAAGTGTAGTATTTTATTTAAAAACTTCAGAATGAAGTCCTGTTTTCATCGAGGGATGTATATTTTGTTCAAAAGAAATTTATTATTAACGAACAGTATAACTTCTGGTGCGTTTATGGGCATTGGCGATATAATTCAGCAGGAAATTGAATATCAATCTCAAATTTTACCTAGAAGATATGACTGGGCTCGCACAGGTATAATTAAAAATTGTGTGAAAAGCAACAACTGTTTACTATTCGTTTCATTGCTTTTTAATATCAATTTTAATCAATTATTGGAAAAAAGATTAAAATTCTACATTATTTTATGTATTTCATTAAAAATTGATACATTTTTTTAGCCAGAATGTTTATTATTGGCACTGTAATGGGACCTTTACATCATTACTACTATATTTACCTGGATAAGGTTATGCCAAGTGCTGATTTTAAGACTGTAACAAAGAAAATAGCATGTGACCAGTTGTTTGCATCACCAGCAACTATTTTGTGTTTCTTCTATGGAATGGGAATGTTAGAAAACAAATCATTAAAACAGAGTACTTATGAAGTGGAACAAAAATTTAAATATGTTTATATGGTTGGTATAATATGATATTAATCGCCTTTAATGCATTTTTAAATGTTTTATTATGTTAATTTACTCGTGGATATAAACTTAACTTCAACATGTATTAGAAAAAATATGATTCAATTGTATCAATTCTCATGAAATTCAATTTTTCAAATACTTAATATAGCATTTTAGTTAGCCTGCACTGTGGTTCAGTTACAGTATTTAAGAATCCAACATCTAAAAAATACTTAATTTGAATTTTCTGTTTATTTTCAGGGCGACTGTTTATTTTGGCCACCAGTGCAGTTTCTAAATTTTTATTACCTACCAACACACTACAGGGTTTTCTACATTAATATTGCAACAATGATATTTAACGTATTTTTATCCTTCATGAAACATTATGATCAACATAAAGATGATTAGATGTAAATAAATGTAGGTTATTTATGCAGTAAAATTCTAATCAGATTAATGTTAAAATTAACTTATTTCAATACTATATTTTTTTTAAATTATACTATATATAAAATTATTCTTTAAATACTATGTAATTATTAAAGACCAACTGAAGAGTAAGCTTGAGCTAAAAGCTTATCAGTCTTGAAGAGATTTAAAAACACTTTGTTTAACACATTCTATTGGTTGAATGAATGTTACAGAACAGATAGTCAATCGATCAAGAATAAATTTCAGCCAAGCAGAAGAATATATGGTTGACGATAAAAGTGCTGAAAATTAAAATGTTTCCAATTGTTATTACATTATTCTTTGCCCCATTGAGAATTCCAAATTCCAGTCACCTACAGCACACATTCACATGTTTCATAATAACTTTCTCAAAATTTTTCTACAAATTTTAATTTCTCACTTAAGTCGAATTTTATTAATATGGATGCAGCATGTCCATACTGCGCGGCGTTTAAAAATTGCTTCCGCTTTACATTATATGACAAAATTATATATAATAAAAGTAAATGTAACATGATGTAGAATTTTGATACGGAAAGAGATTGCATTATAATCACACAATTGGTGTAATTTCTGTGCCTCAGTTTCATCTACCTCGTATTTTTTTATTATATCATTGTGTCCAGTGGTATAAAAAAGTTTATTTAAAGAAATAAGAAAAACTGGTCAAGTACGAGTCGGACTCGCACACGAAGGGTTCCGTACCATTATCTATAAAAACGGCAAAAAAGTCATGTCCGTTGTATGGGGAGCCACACTTAAATATTTTTTAGGATTTTTTGTTATCATACACACACATAACATATTATCTGTGAAATTTAAACTAACTAACTATCTGGTTCATGAGATACAATCTGGTAACAGACGGACGTACAGACAGACAACGGAGTCTCAGTAAAAGCATAGATTAGACATATAGAGCGTGTCTTTACAATCGCGACAATAAATGAACACATATAAATAGGGGATAACTTTAAGATTGTATTAAATATTTATATTCTTTAAACATCAATATTTACAGAGTTATTAAATTTTCCAAAACAAAGAATTTTAGAACACCCTTACCTATAAAATTGTAACGTAAAGTTCATTTGTAAAGGTCACGAAGCATATGAATGGGTTGAATGAATTTAAAAGAGACAAAACATACTGTTAGAAGGAGAGGCTTGTAATAAGACGCTGTGGCACGAGTTGTATAGGTGTTACATATTTTGTTTCTTTTTTACTTAGTTTGTTTGAAAAATATTTTTTTTAATTATGGATTTTGTTTAACGTTAAAATTTTTTTATGATTATTGGCAAGTAGCGTTAGACGTGTGTTCATTTATTGGCGCGATGGTAACGACACGCTGTATAATGAAATAGGGTCCCATTCCATTTTACCCTTTGGGGCCGAAATATTTAAGCTTAAAAGTAAACAGGAAACCAATCAAGGCACGTTTGACATTGATTTAGCAAATTTTTGCACGGTTTCTGAGGAACTTTTGTCGGTAGTTTATTCATCAGCGCTATTGGTTCGATAACCTACGAAAATGCGTTTCTGAACAGCGCCAATTAGATAAACACCGTTAAAACTAACCAATGAGTTCCGTTTATCGGTTTCATAACTTTGACGTCTTATTTCTTAAGTTTTAGGTCAATTCGTGTTATTATTAAAATAAATTACAGCTGAGACCTAAGTATTAAAATCGTGCAAAGGAAAAAAACAACATTATATTTAATTTTTAATGCCATCCAAGCTTATTTCTTCGCCGCTTTAGAGGTCCCATCCGTCTTTTGTTGTCGAATACAAAGTCCTTGGCTACTTCGGAAAAATTAAACTTTTTTACTACCCACTTTTTCCAAACTGAAACATTTTTTTTACAAAAGAATGCTTAAAGTAATGGAACAATAGCCAAGCTTACACAAACTTATAAATATATAAGCAGCTAATCAAAAAAGAGTACGGACCACGATTTTTTTTGGCTGGATGAGTCACTGTTGGCCTTAAGGGCCTTTAGAGATCCGACGGGCTTGAGGTGGCCGGGCGCTCGGGACGCATAGCCTGAACCTCAAATGGACCACGAGTTGGCAAAGGAAGTTTGTTAACATAAAAAAATATATATAATTAAAACAGCAAAGAAAGTGAATAAATATTATCACGCCTAATACAAAACAAAGTCAGACAATGAGAAAGTAAAAATAAAGAAATATCATTAATTTAAAATAAATGATAATTTTAAACTGGGTGAATTACACAGACCTATCTAGCGGGACAAAGAAAAGGAACTACGTATCAGTTCAAATGGTTCGTCGAGTATTCAGAAACGGAGTGATAGTGGAACCAAAGCTTATCTGAATATAACTGAGAACTTCAGAAACCGGGCATTGCAATGGTAAAGTTACAGCGTTTCAAAATAATAAATAGTATTAAAGAACCTTAATTTTATATTGTTCGATACATAAAAGAAATAAATGTTCCGTTTACAAGATTTTGTATAATTTAATATTACAATAAGTATCAATTAAGTCTGATAAAATTCCTGCCCTCTAAGAGTTGGCTTGCGCTGCCTAAACCGTTGCAGTTACAGGAGAATAATGTATCGTGGGACTCTCTTAAACACTTCTAAATAAAATTCCGCGACATCACATAATATCTGGAAGCCAATGTATCTCAAATTATTAGCCATAAATACGTTAGGCACCCGTTTTGCCGTTGTCTTAAAATGACAAAGGCAAAAACTGCTGCCTTTTGCTATGCTATATCCGCATCAAATACCCTGTGTAAAAAAAGAAGCCACCTGCATACTGTTCCAGATTCGAATTTGAAAAAATATCGTTTTTGATATTGAACGTTGGGTATAGGTATCACTTTATATCAGTAGCGCATTGATGAAGATATATTTTGCGAAATCATCTGAAAAAGTGCTTCAAGTATCTTCCGAACTATCGCAAAGGCAAAGAAAAACCGGAAAGTCGGAGAAAAATTTGTTGAAACCCTGCTAGTTAAAAGCAGCTGTCGTTCGTGGACCAGAAAGCCAACAAAAATTTTCGCAAATAAAACTTACTGACAATACTATGAAACGTCGCATTGATGATATGGCTGAAGTTATAAAACAAAACACAAAAAGGCCGTGAAAGAATCAAAATTTAGGGACAAATTTACAGTTTTAAACTGCTCCAACTTTACAGTTGGTTGGGAGCAGTTAGCAGAGCAAGCAGTTAGTTGCAAAGCAGGAGCAACAGCCAGCTAAATATACAGTATATTCCGAAAAATTACAATACTTTCAAAATTTTGATACAGTGACAATAACAATAGAAAGAATTTAATTATTTAGCAACTTGTTTATTCTAAAACAATGTTTGATTAATATTTTTCATAGATTTTTGTGGTCATCCTCGACAAAATTTCTTAAAGTTTATCCAATTATCCGGGTCTCGATGTTTCGTATAATGTTAGTGATTAACCAGTTCCGCTGTTTTGTTTTAATGTAATTTAGTTAACTGGAGTTGCGTTTAGCACCTTGAACGTCACTTTTTATAATACCTAAAGCGGCAGCCGTGAATACATAGCAAACAGTGCAATTGGCTCTATAGGAAGTCTTGTTTTCAGATTTTAGCCACTAACGGAAGTTTTGTATATGGAGCCATTCATGGTGAAATTGCTCTCTATACTTCTTTTTTGACGTAGACAGCACTAAAGCGTGAACATCACTTTCCTCGCTTCTTGAGCACATAGATTTAGTATTTACTAGTAATCGTCAGATTAAAAGTTTGGGATAGTAGGAATTATAAATTTTAAAAGGTACTTTCTAGAAAAAAATTAGGAACAACGTATTTATATATTATCTAAGACATAATTATTTACAATCAAAACGAATACTTTGAAAGACCAAGGTAACTGAATTGGTATATAGATTAACCCCAGCACATTGTCCAGTCATCTTTTCTTGTTTGCAGTTTAACGACTATCCTATACAATGCAAGTGCAGGACCTAGTGGTAAACCTAAGCCCCTTACTATATCTGCTCTCCTCGCCATAGCTATTGCTTGTCCATCGAATTCCTGAAACAAATGTAAAAAAATACTATAAATAACTAATTCCAATGAAAGGTTTCATTGGGAAATTGTAATAATACAATTTACCGTGAAAGGAAGGAAATATAATTGATTCGAAATTACATATTTTACAATCAAAACATTTAGGACCGCAAAATAATGTCGTTTTCGTGCATAATTTTTCAACGAGTTATATGATATATCTGAATTCATGGGCTTTAACCTTTTGCCATCAACTGTGAACATAAATATTTCAATGGCGCATTAATTAAATTGCTTTTGCAATATCATCCAAATAAGTAAATCTTATAACCTCACAAAAGAGCGGCATCAAGAGGAAGGTTTATACTTTTGTAATTTGTCTGCTGAGTAAGGCAACCGGGGCCTTTATCTACTTTATTAAAAGGCAGCAAGGTATCTGTAAAACAAGATATCGAGATTTTCGCGCAGTAAGCATCTAAACTCGTAGGCTCTGTTAGTTAGGGCGCCTGGGCGCTTTACTCAAAAGACATAGGTAACAATCCTGGCGGCGCTGAAAAGTTGTAGATAATTCATCTATTAAACTCGCATCTAAAGCAAACGTTGTGTTCTTTGAAAAGTAGTTTGGCCACTTTTATACTCAGCTAAAGAGCAGCTGTTCATAAACTTGATCCCAAACCACAGCGGGCGCATCCACCGAACTAATATTCCGCATTATTTTCCTTGCAAAACTCAAACAGCATGAAATACCAACGATTTGTTATTTACCATGTTTTTGTATGGAGTCGATAATTGTCGATAATTGTCTGTCCATTTTACCAAAAAATGCAAAAATAAAATTGAATTTATTTACAAGAAAACAAATCACTATAACTTTGAAATGCCTGTCAATGCCTTTGCTTATAAATGTTGATAAGTGACAAATATTGAGATGCACAGAAACAATATTACTTTGCAGTCCCAACTTAATATTTGCCTGCAGGTGATGCGTTGTTTACATGCAACTACTATAAAAATATTAGATTCTCTATTTATATTAAAATATTAAATGTTTTTATTTTATTCATTTGTTAAAAAGGTATTACCTGTTCCTTTAAAATTGGAGCAGCTTCAGGATAATGTTCCATGAAATAACTGTGAACATCTTCAGTTGTCCAGTTTGTAATATCTGGTATACTTGGATCTATTGGCACATCTACTAATTTTGTTGGAGCTCTATCCAACTCATGAGGTTTTAAAAATGGATCCACTGTAGATGATTCTGAATTGTAATCAATTGTAGATGGAACAATTGCTGGGGAACCAACAATTGTTGGGCGTGATTCCAGGCAATTATTGCACTCCCACTGATCCCATGCCTTTAGCCGTTCTGGTATGCGCGGTGTATGACATAGTGCGTGGTAAGCATCTGAACAAATATTACATACTGTTAAAATGCCCTGTAAAATAATATAATTGGAGTTTAATTTAAAGATATATGACACAAGTATTTGATTCAAAATCTCCATAAATTGTTTACCAATTGCTTTGAAATTTAGTCCACATAGAATTCAAATATATTTATGAAATTTTGTACCTTCATGTAAAATAGGAATAACCTTTTAATAAATCTAATGTGTTTCACATAAACCTGTTCATGCTTAGATTACATTAATATGAATAAAAATATTGACAGTAGTTAAACCCTATCCAGTTTGCAGATAAAAATGTAGTAGTACCTGGAGGTTTTTTTGGTAAATCATGTATTGTGGAATTAAAAAATACAGGTACAGAAAAAAAAGTATAAAAGAATAAGTGTGTAAATGATCGTGATACGAATCGCGGCCGCCTGTTTTGGGGCCACCCGATTACCTACCGAGCTATTATAACATTTTTTTTTGCGGCGAAAGTTACTGTCATATTCGAATGATATTTTTCATTCCCTGAAAACAGGGATAAAAGGACATTTTCTAAAAATGAAACCTAGCTAGATCGATTTTTTGCCCCGAATCTACGCACATGCAAAATTTCATGAAAATCGCTGGAACCATTGCCGAGATTCCGATTATATATATACAAGAATTGCTCGTTTAAAGGATAAGATAAATAACAACTTACAGCATCATTAGTTTCATAGCACACAACACATGTTTTACAATGAGGACACTGCCAAGTATTATCAGGTCTCGGTTTTAAAATACCAGATCCTGACTGCAGACAACTTAAATGAGCTTTATTATTACAGTCACGACATTCTATTAGTCTGTCATTTGATCCTCTGGGTTTCTGAATAAGACACACGGAACAGACACCTCCAGAGGTCTCATGAGGCACTGGCTCTTCTGACTCTATGTCTTCTCCACTTCCATCTAGGGACACTTGACACTCCGATAATGGGGTGCCTTCTTTATCATTTTTTTGATGGCTGGCTATCATGAGCCGTTTCTTTATAGTACTTTTATTAAGAGACCCCACTGGTCTTCCTCTTTTACGTTTACTTGGTACATTATTGTCTGATGGATCAAATACTTTTTTTGCCATTTTGCGTCTTTCGCCAACCCGAACACCAGCATTTTGACTGCTTATAATTTGGCTATTGCTAGATGTCGCACCTCCTCGTTTTTTCGGCCTTCCTCTCATTCGTTGAGGAGATGACCTACATGATGAATTAGCTGATGATGTCATCTGTAATTATTTTTGCTATAGTATTGAATACTTAATGACATTAAGTTGACATTCATACTTTCATGCAAGATAAAAATAAATAATATGAAAACTTTTTAAAAGTAAAATGCCAGGATTATAAAACATAATTATGCAGTAAAATAATATTAATGGATCAACATATAAATAAAATAAAATAAAACCATCTGGATAGTAACATATCCTATTAAAACAAATATACCAAAAATTTAGCTGTTTCTGTAACAAGGGGATAGCATGTGTTTTATAACATATATTCTCATGAACTAATAACTTACTTACCTTTGTATTAGAGTCATTATACTCAAATTTAAAACTATCAGAACTGTCACCATCTGGATCAGCTGGGCCCAGAGCTAAGGTACCATTTGGCAACTTAACAAGACTGCCCGAGGACAACTCTTTGTTTACAATAGTTTCAAGTTGTTTTTTTGTATACCGGGACTCTTGAGAAGCTGCCGCATGGATAAGGTCATCAAATGCAATTCCATTTTCTAAATAGCTCTGGTCTTGGTATATTAAAGTTGCTATTGCAGACGTTATGATCCTTCTTTCACTGGTAGCAATTGCAGAAGTCATTGCTAAATAAATATAAAATTAATTAAAACGATCTTAAATTACATATATTGATGCAATTATAATGAACTTACTAATAGTATTGTTACGCGTCGATTTCTTTCGCCACTTTGCAGCGTTCCTATAGCTTACATTATCCTTATAGTCAACTTTAAAAATACTTCTCTCTTTCAGACAACGTTTCAAGTCCGCTTTTGTATCTTTAGGCGCAACTTTGTAACACTTCAGCATAAATTTACAAATTCTGTTTATATCCGGGCGCGACTTCCGAGAACGTAAATGATCAATTGCGGCCAAGATTTGATTTTTATACTTTATCTCTGACATTTCTGAAATTAAATCCAACTTTGTGACCAAAATATTTACTGCAGCAGAAATTAGTTTATGCAATTAATAAATTACATTAACTCACCTGAACAAAATCATACCGCCGAATTAAAATATCTATATAAAGATATTTTTAATGCAGTAACTCTATGTTACTTAACTTTAATGACTATCTAAATTAGCAACGTAAATATACACCGCTAACAGCTTAATCTTCCAAACAAGTTACCAAAGCCAAAGTTTCGTAAAAATTTACTAAACTTCTATGTAAGTATTAAGTATTTAAGTAAATATTTATTATTAAAAAAAGTTAGGTGTTAATAGGTAGGGATAGGGATTAAACAATAAGAGTAAAAATGAGTAAAAATTCTAAATATGAGTATCGAGTACTCGATACTTCCTTCCGACACCAAAGCCTTTTTATCGATAGTTTGTAAGTAAGTATCAAGGAGGTATCGATGAAAAGTACTCGAATAGCGAAAATATTTTTGAATCTGAAAAGGGCCTCTGCTGCTTGCAGCTATTTATTAAAGCGGGTGCAAAAGTAATTGCATCCAGAAATCGTGTAAAAGGTAAATATTTGCAAATTAATATTTTTGAAAAGCGTTACCAAGACAATTTTTTTTCTTGTCATTGTTTTCCGTGAATAATTTTTTCATATCAATAAATATTAAAAATACTTCGTTATATAAAACATATTAACGTGTTTTCCTGCGTTTAATGTAAATACAAAAAAAATAATCGATTCGAGAAATTCGATAGTTTTTAATTAATATGTAGATTAATATCAATACTTTATTACCAATCTCCTCCTCACCAGTGTCTCCCAATGGGTGGGCCTTAAGATTAACATGGACAAGACGAAGATCATGTCTAATGTCCATATAGCTCGTAGAACCGATAACCGTTGGCGAAGAAAGGTTCTCGAGTGGCAGCCTCGTACTGGCCATCGCAGTGTGGAACGACCCCCCTCTAGATGGAGTGACGACCTGTGCAAATGTGCGGGGAGTCGATGGATGCCGGTGGCTCAGGATCTTACTTCGTGGCAGTCTATGCGGGAGGCCTATGTTCAGCAGTGGACTCAAACAGGCTGAAATGATGATGATGATGACTACCAATACTGCATCGCGTAAAGCTATCGATTCCTTTTTTTTGTTAATGCGGGGGAAATGCCTAGGCATACCAGCCATCTCGGGAGTAAGGAGGGGTCGTCATGATGGACTCTCACCGACCAAAACCCCCACGATGCTACACGTCGAGTGCATATTGGCATAGCTACGGAAACGCTTGCATACCAGCCAATAGTGGCCGCCTCAGCAGGAGAGGCTTCTCGAGGAGCAATTCCTCTCTTCCCCAGGTAGAGCAAGCAAGAACATTCAGTGTGCCTAACTACTCGGTCCCTATTTTACCAGCCATGGAAGCCAGGAGATCCAGCGCTAATCGCGGTCCAAGCTGAATTTCAAACCTCCTGAATAGGAATTCATATGATGTGGGTTATATTTTTGATATCTATATGCAGAAATGTGAAGTCATAACTAACTAATAACGTAATGATGAATGGGCTGTATGGAGGAAACCCAATCCTGTAAACCACAATGTATAAACACAAATGGATCAAGTGTAGCTTGAACAGTAAAAGAGGATTTAAAGTATCCTGTGTTATGTTGAGGAATGTGAATCTTAAGTTGGTTGATGGAACGAGATATTCTGTCAGGGTCAGAGTGAAGGTATTGGAAGGTATACTTAAGGTAAGAAGAATACAGAATACATTGTTAAAAGAACTCTAGAGCTGCGCCTCTGTCGAATGGAAAGCCCGTTAAGCTTGCGACGGTAGGAAGATACATGGTTATATTTGCGTAAACCGAAAATAAATCTAATGCAGCTATTGAGAAGGCGCTCCAATTTTACGAGATTGGGATAGGTCCGGATAACACACATCAGCATAGTCGATAATGGGGAAAATTAATGATTGGACAAGCAAAAGGTTAGTTTTAAAGGGTAGGAAATTTTTCAAACGGTAGAGAGAACGTAAGGTAGCAATAACTTTCCGGCTGACTTCGGCGATCTGCGTTTCCCAACTAAGTGACTGGTCTAAATGCAAGCCAAGACTTTTGACTGAGTCAGAAAACGGAATTAACGTTCCATTATAAGAAATTGGGACATATTCGATCCTGGAAATTAGATGCGTTATTATAATTCCTTTGCATTTAGATGCGTTAACAGTAGGCGTTTGGACATAAAGCCGGTGATCGTCAGCATACAGATGGTACAAACAATTGACTACTGAGGTGATAGAGTTAATAAATAACGAAAACATAATTGGACAAAGTATAACGCCTTGTGGCACCCCAGTATCAACATCCGCCCAGGTAGAACACTGCTGTCCTAAGTGGACTGACTGTTGACGATCGCGAAGATAAGAGCAAAACCAATACAAAGCTGGGGTCGAGAATCTAAGGTAAGTAAGGTAAGATCGAAGGGTGTCGTGATCAACTACGTTAAAAGCGTTAGAAAAGTCCACAAGCACCACCACTGTGACTTTTTGATCATCCAAACCTTTTGTTATGTCATTAGTGACCTTGATAAGTGTAGTGGTAGTACTGTGGCCCGAACGAAACCCAGATTGATAAGCATTCAATAGGTTATATTTGTTAATAAATAAGTAGATTTGCTTATGAACACAGGCCTTAAGAACTTATGAAAGAAATGGAAGAACATAAATCGGACGAAAATGGTTAGGTAAAGAGGGAATTGGGATTTTGGGTAAAGGCAGGACAAAAGCCCTTTTCCACTGGGTTGGGAAATGACCAGAGTCCAAGGAGAAATTGATTAGGTGTGTATTTGCAGGTAAAAGGTACTCCAGTATCATTGTTATCATTTGCTTACTAACCTCGTCGTTTTCCACAGCTTTGGATTTGATTGCTAATATAGTCTTTTTAACTTCATTGAGATTTACCGGTGTGAACTGAAAATCCGTAATTTGAAGAGGTGACAATTGAACAATAATTTATGTCATTCAAGGTTAGTGAGGGGCATGGTATGATGGGCAAGGTTTAATCCCAAGGACTTGAGATATCGATAGTCGTATGGAAAAATATCGATATTTTTTGCCCATGCCTAATTGCCTACAATCAATTGTCAAATGTCAAAGGATGATAATGATATTATGTGCTTATCTTAATTCTGTAGAATAAACTTTAATTATAATTGTTATTAATTAAAATCGTGAAATATGTCAACGACGACTTTGCTTGCAGTACGCTGTTCGTGGAGTTGTAAAAGATATTTACGATGTTCATATTTTTCATCGCAGCCGGAACAACAAATCAAAAAGCATACAGCCAAGGTTGTATCTGTGGCTATAATAGGAGCGCCAAATTCTGGAAAAAGCACATTGATTAACAAGATCATGGATCGAAAGGTTTGATTGATTCATAATGCGTTAGAATATACGATCTACATGTGTGAAGGAACGCGTATAACCTCTATTGATGATGGTTTATGTCAAGGATGAGCAACGCGCGGCCTGCGAGCCGCTTGCGTCCCGTTAAACACGTTTATGCGGCCTGCCAAGTATTTCTAAAATTGAACTTATTTTATCGAATTTCTCCCATCAATATATTGTTATAAAATTAATTATAATAAAATGGTAGTACATACTGAACCGAAATATTTTTGTTCGTTTTTTTTGTTCTTTTCTTGTGTTTTTACCTTTCATTAGAATTTGTATATGAAATCTTTATTTTTTTATAATTTTATATTTTTTTATTCTATTATTTATTATAAATAAAGTTTCGTAAATTATTATGTGCGCCCTGCCAAAAAAAATTTTAAATTTAAATTAGCCCATTGATTAAAAAGGTTGCTCACCCCTGGTTTATGTGAATGAATTGTTTAATATGTTACATATACACAGGTGAGCACCTGTATCCATGTAACATATTCAATAATTCTATTACTTTTACCCATTTTTCTGTAGGCCTTCAGTGAACTAATAGTGCCTTATTTATGGTATAGTTGAGGATGGGGGTTGGGTTTTGAATCGAGTCGCGCGAATTTAAGTACATTGTTAGTTTGAGGGGATTAAGGAGGTTTGAATCAAGCAGTCTAATGCATTTTTCCTGCCGGAAACTATACACAAAAATCACTAATGAATTAATCAACAAGCAGAATTCTCCGGTTGAATTTAGTTTACATGAAAAGTAAAATTTAAAACTTAGCTCAAAGTACATATTGAAGTGAAATTAATAAAATGGTGGATGTTCTCTCTGTGAAAAACAGTTTTAAATAATTTTTTATTGAAAACTATACATGAATGGCTTGTTGATTATTTCATTAGTGATTTTTCTCTACCAACCTGTAAAGTTTTTGTTAGGTCGAAAAACGCCCTGTGCTAATGATAAAAATTTTGTTGTGTTGCTATAAGCAAAAAGTGTTGCAAAGGAATTATCTAGATCTATTTCAATTACCAATTACAATCTGATATTTTATAGATTTGTGCTGCTTCTAATAAAGTTCATACAACAACAAGCCTTGCCAGAGCAATTTGTTTTGAAAATGAGACACAAATTGTATTTCTTGATACACCAGGTGTGATATCAGATAAAGAGCAAAAGAGGTAATTGAATTGTGTGCTATATATATGTATGGGATTTTACTAATGTTATAAATGTGGAAGTTCTTTGAATGTATACCATATGTCCATACATTTGATATTAAAAATTTGATTTTATATTTTTCAATTTGGACATTCTTGAGTTTTCAAATTACGCAATTGTTTTTAAAATGAAATAAAAAATAAAGTAAATCAGTCCAATTTTTCAGGTACAAATTACCACTGTCAATGTTAGGAGCTTGTGAAAAAAGCTTAAGATGTGCTAATGTTGTAGGTGTGGTTCATGATGTATCTAATAAATGGACCAAAGATAGAATGCACCAAGATGTTATTAACATGCTTCATTCAGTTATGAATTTGCCAAGTTTTCTAATATTGAATAAGGTAAGTAACATAACATTAGTGTTCTAGACTTCAAGACATTTTGTTAAAGAGTATATATTAAAAATGTAATAAATTTTACAATTCCTTTTTAGGTAGATAAATTAAAGTCCAAAAGGCAGCTGTTAGCCACTATTAGAAACTTGACAAATGGAGTAATTGCTGGAAAACCAATTGCAGGAAAGCTCAATAAAGATAGTGCTAAAAATAAAATTGATAAAGGTTATAGCAATTTCTCTGATGTGTTTTTGGTATCTGCATTAACAGGTGATGGAGTGGATGCTATTAAGGTCAGTTGATTGATTACTTATTTTAAATTCATTTAGAAGGAAAATATGTTGTTGAGTATTTTTATGCTTTTAAATTTTTTTTATTGTCTTGTTGTAGGAATACCTTATTTCAAATGCAAGAGTTGCTAATCTCCAGTATTCTCCTGATGCATGGACAGATCAAACTCCTGAAAGTCTTATTGAAGAAGCAGTAAGAGCAAAATTTTTAGATTTTCTTGCACATGAAATACCATATAATTTAAATATAGTGCTGGAATATTTTGATGAGATTCTTGAGGAAGAAAAAATAATATGTTCTGTTGCTGTTGAGTGCCCATCAGAAAGAATAGCAAGATTAATTAGTGGAGCTGGTGGTGGAAGATTACAACAGATTAAATCTTATGTTAGAAGTGATTTGATGGATTTATTTAAGAAGAATGTAGTTATTGATTTAACACTGAAAGTAAAGAACAAATCTTTGAATGAATCAAACTAGAATAATTGATAAATTTTTTTTTGGTATTTAACATGGATGGGATATGAATTTCGTGGTATACTACTGCTCTTTTAAATGATAATAGTAAATATGAAGATTATGTAATAAAAAAGCAAAGAATTTAAATATGTAATTGTTTTAAATGACATCCCCAAGAGTAAAGACAAGCTTTTGCTTCTTTGTTTTTGTTTGCTACAAAATACACTATACAAATCACTATATGGAGTAGTCCTAACATAAATATTACATTAAATATTTTTTTATGTATTAGTTTTACACATTAAATATTTGGTTATTAATGCAACCATAATGACAGATGTGTTTATTTTTTCCATAAATAGTTTCTGATTGGACAATTAGTATTTACTCATGTTTTCAGTATATGTAACTATTTAAAATCCCATGTCCCCTAGCTGGGGCAGAGGGCGTCCACAGTAGATCGCTAACGCGAACAGCGCTTCACGCTTTACTTCGCTCTCAAATACGTCGCCAGGTTTGCTGGGGACGTCCACGCCTTCTTTTTCCTTGAGGATTCCAGTACAATGCTTGCTGAGGAATGTGATCGGAACCTCTCCGGAGCGTGTGACCAATCCATCCAGCTCTTGGTACTTCCTCTTAAGGATCTGTCCATTTGCGCAACAGCTAAGATTTGTGGCTTATGGGCCGTACCATAGTTTTGTACGACCAGTCACCTGCCTGATGTCAACCTTCCTTGGGAATAAACATCCAGTTCCGGGAAAATTATCCGGGGATTACAGAATTTGTTCAACATAAATTCAAATATTTAACAACTGCACTATCGAGTCACCGTGATGAATCGTCATTTGTGAAACTTGCAATTAACTATTTCATTAGCCGGGCTTCAACTATATTGTATTGTAAGTATATTGAATAAAAAGCGAGCGAACGAAAACTGAGTTATCACGTCTACCAGCTTGGTATCTTACAAATTTTTCATATTGTACATTTACGGTCAGGGGACATATCATTTGTTACCACCTTGTTTTTTTTAAAAATGGAGTGCGTCATTAACTGCCAGCTCCTTAGGAGTGGGTGTTCCAACGAATGTTAATGGTTCTTAGGTGGTGAGCTTTTTATGTACCTAATTGCTCAAATGCCATATGGGATGCATGCCATGGGAAAGGCAGTGGAGGCTTATTTTGAACTTACCGAAAGCCTTCCATTCGATTTGGAACATAAGAACTTCTTGAGGACTGAGGGACTTACTACCCAACATCTTCCATAACTATGAAATAAAGAGAGGTCACTTCTGACAAGTTATTGGGGACCGGCATCTTGAGAGGCCTGTGCTATATGCCAAAACGCGACACCAAGTAATGCAAACCGGGTATTAAGTGTAAGTGTAAGTGTAAGTAATATTTTAAGTGCTGAATTATTACGCTGAGCGGTGAAGGAAAACATCGTGGAGAAACCTGCATATTTTCGAAATAATAAAAAAATATTTCGAAGATATGTGAAGTCCGCCAAACCGCAGTGGGGCCGCGTGGGGACTATGCCCTGATACCCTCTATACAAAGGAGGCCTTTGCCCAGCAGTGGGACATGTATAGGCTGATACTTTGCCACCTGGTCAGGAAAATAGATCTAGACCCAATATTAGTACAGCTGTTGACGGGTCACGGAGGCTTTTGCAGGTTACTGACGATACTGGACTACAAACGATTCTGGAATCGTTTTAAGTGCAATGAAAGACCAGCTACCCAAAGCCTATTGGGTACTTCCGGTCCAGAATTGTTAATTTTGGTTAAAAGGAAGCTCTTACAGTACACGTAAAGGGAAAATTCCGAAAAATAAAAACACGTTGAAAATCAAGGTAAATTTTGATACTTACAAGTTTTCGCAAGAATCGAAATCTGCCCATAACTTTTTATCGTGTTGAGGAACTCAAATTCAGGAACTTCATTTTTATACAAGTAATAGGGACTATAGACCACAGTATCTGGTATAAATTTCAACTTACTAGGTCCGCCGGTTCTTGAAAAAATAGGCGGTGACACGCGGACAAACGGACATGAGAGCCAATCTTATAAGGGTTCCTCTTTTATCTTTTAAAATACGGAACTGTAAAAAATAGACAAGCGGAATATAAAACAATATATTAAGTTATTATTTTTTCTACATTTGGCAGAAATATACAACAAAAGAAGGTAAAAGCTGCGAAACTTTTAAGTGGTGGGGTTATAACGAACAGATCGAAGACCTTATTGAAGGATCCCCGTTAAACATTAACTTGTTATAGGTACCGCCACGTACATACGAATACCGCTAGGTAAGTTCCACCACAAATGGCACGGACTGCGTCACATGATTTCCCAGATGATGACATGACCATCGCCATCAATAGGATTATCTAACCAATTACGAAAACACCAAGACACCGGCAGACTCAGATTATTTTGATCTAGATTCCGCCGCGTACCTAGTTAGTTTCTCCTGTTAATGATAGAACCGTTACTGGAATTTCTTCATCCACTTCTTTTTCCAGCGCTAACTTTTTCCGAAGTAGTAGTAATGTTAGCTATAATATCTAATGTTAGAAACATTACTAAAGCTAACATTCCGTTTCTTTCGTCCGGTAATAGCTACTGATGCTCTCGGGCACCTTCTAATCGGAATGCTAAACGGTCATTAAGTAAGAACTCAAGCCGAGGTCGTCTCTCGGGGCCCTTGCCCTAGTTACTCGATGGAATGTTCGCCAAAGCGACCTAAGACTTTGGCGGACTTCCAATCCGGTATTATTACTCTTTGTTTTTTACGTGGGAAAAATCCTTTATGGATCCCCGCCGCCTTGTGGGTAGGCAGCAGGGGTATGTGGGGGTTACACATACCCACTAAAAAACCCACGTTGCACTTGCGCTATCGCTTTTCCGGGGACACAGGAACACGAAGACGCAATTTTCCGCGAACCCCGGCGCGACTGTGGCCTTCTCAGGCCTCCTCTCTCCGGGTGTTAGGGACACTCGATTCAGCCATGTCGTGTCGTGCCGGTATTGTTACTCTAAACAACTAAAACAAAGCCCCCATCTTGTTCCAACTAGGGTTAAGAGAAAGCTATCGCACACTTTCGCAACTCTGATACCGCTGATCGCCTTAGCGGCTCTTCCTCGGAGACTAACATGCGCTTCCATGGCGCAGAGGATAAAGATAGGGAGAGCGGCCCAACTCAATACCGGCGCTGCTCTTCCCGCTACTGCACCTACTAAGCCCGTGACTGTATAGTCATGGCCGAGGTACCCCTCCGAACCACTTCGGTCCCGGGTTCCTACCTAAAAACCCGGAGGGGCCCCCGGACGAGTTTGCCCATTCGTGCAACAACAGAAGCCGCTGCGTGACCCAACCACTGGTTAAGGTTAATTTAAATCTTTTAATTGACTTTACTTTAAAAAAAAATGCTCTATGTATCTCACACAAAAGTTCATTCTTGAACTTGCATACTATTGTTTTTATAACTTTGTTTCAGTTATGTCTAATTTTCTTAACTCTGTTATGCAGATAATCTTATTCCGCAATTATACTTGTTTACAGCTCCACAAATTCAAGTTATGTTACTTTCGGGTTGTGTTATAGTACTGAATTGGTGAAGTTTGTAGTTCAAAACTTTAATAAATAAAATTACATTATCCTCTCGCTTAGCTAGTCATGTCTAACAATACGAATAGAATGGAAGGAAACTCTGAAGCGAGCGGTTCAAATTAATCGCACAACTTTGTTAAGACTTGCTTGCGGATAGTTAGTTTAAGTTTATGCGACGGTAGTTCGCGTTGTACATACCTATAATGTGGTACCGAATGTGATAACAAATTTCATTAGCGATGGGCAAATGAAATGTTCGTATTTTTTTATTTGTAACTGACGATCAACCTTTATAACGATTTAGTTGCATTCGCAAATTATTTTTCTTACCAGTCAATCTCTGTGATACTCAATGTAAATACATGCATCTAATAACTTTAAACACGCGATCATCATAATATATATACACATATATATATACATATACAGCGTGTCGTTACCATCGCGACAATAAATAAACACACATATAGGGGATAACTTTCTAAAGTTGTATTAAACATTTAAATTCTTTAAACATCAATATTAACAGAGTTATTAAATTTGCCAAAACAAAGAATTTTAGAACAACCTTACCTATAAAAGCGTAACGTAAAGTTCATTTCTAAAGGTCACAAAGCATATGAATGGGTTGAATGAATTTAAAAGAGACAAAACATACTGTTAAAAGGAGAGGCTTGTAATACAACGCTGTGGCGCGAGTTGTATAGGATGTTACAAATTTTGTTTCTTTTTTACTTAATTAGTTTGTTTGAAAAATATATTTTTTTAATTATGGATTTTGTTTAATGTTCATATTTTTTTATGATTATTGGCAAGTAGCGTTAGACGTGTGTTCATTTATTGTCGCGATGGTAACGAAACGCTGTATGTATATATATATAAGAATTGCTCGTTTAAATGATAAGAATTTCTTATTCGTTCTTTTAGATATTTAAAACCGTTTACTTAGATTTGAAATTTTAGGGATTCTTTCGATTAGCAGCGCCGCGCTGTTATAATAGCTCACTTAACATGACTTGGGGGAGTCTATGGGGGAAGCCTATGTTCAGCAGTGGACTCAAACAGGCTGAAATGATAACATGACTTACGAAATCCATACTTCACCAATGAACTCCTTTAAATTTTGTTAGCTTCTCAGCACATTTTTGATCATGAACCTTTCAAAGTAGTGTTTTAAGAAATGATTGTGCAAATCTTTATTGAAAACTAAAATGACGCCAAATCAAGTGTCAACGAAATATAGTGGGCCGCGGCGTAGAGACAGAAATACATAATATGTACTTCATAAGAACACATATCATAACTTAGATACTATTATTTAATTTTATTAAGTTATATTTTATGACCATTTAACATAGTTCATATGAGAAAAAAGTTTAGAGTGTTTGTGACGGAGATTTACAATTTCTTAAATTGAATTTTAATGCAATCTCTTAAACCCATTTGTTAAAATATTCCAAGCAAACATATGAAAAGTTTAATCGTAATCCCCGATGGAGTTTTAATACTTTGAATATTACTTCCCGATAAATACGAGAGTAAACCGAACAATTTTTATCGGGATTGATATCTCCGGAGCAATAAATCGCCGCTAGCATTTGAACATACTACTTCCATTTTCATATCGAACTGTACTCTCATATACTTACTTTAATGCATTGGATAATTCCAGATTAAAGTAAACTATTGATGAATATTTTAAAACTGACAGTTTGATTAATTTTCAATTAATCAAATACAATTTCATTCACATAAATTTAGTTTATACAATAAAATATTTTAATTGGTAATAACTTATTATTTAATTGTAGCTATTCGAAAATTTCAACTACTATATGTGAAGAGCTTTTTAAAAATAAAATAAAAATACAAAGTATTTAATAATTCAAGGAGAAAAAAGAAATGGTATAGTGGCTGATCACAGACTGCCACTTGGGCGTGCTTTTAGTCTCAGGTACAAAATTCATGATAATGTTATGGGATTTTATGGAATAGATATTTCGAAGTTAGTATTAGTTTTCTGTGTATCCTGAGACTTGTCTGGGCTTTTGCAGGTGTATATGTTTGTGAATTATCGTGTCGACGGAAATATGGGTTTGAGGATGTATAATTAACTCAAAGATGTTTCGAATTTATCTGTAGCTTTTGAAAAAAAAAAAAAAAACGAAACAATTCATATTATAAACATATCAAGAGTGGATACGTGTTAATCTCGAATAAAAGAGTTTCGTGTATGGATTTTTATGTTTATGGTATGATGTTGCGGGAATGTTATTATTTTATTGCGGTTCAACTATTTCATCAGTTTCTGGTCGATATGTATGTAAAGTAAGAGAGCGAGCACCTTCGTTTTATTGTGTTTTACATGTTAAAGACAGGGCCGTGCCTGACGGGCGTTCATTGCGTGCACCGCACGCAGGCGGCCGAAATTAAGAGGCGGCCAAATCGTTACAAGTTGTTTACTGGGCAAAAATACAATCGGTTTGTTTTCATTAAGATACGAAGTAAAAACAGTTTTCTCTAATCTAATCTATCTAAAAAGAGTTTCTCAGAAATAAGAAATGTATAAAAACTGATTAGGTCGTTGTAGTATTTATATACCTAGTCATGCAGCGAATCCGAATTTTTTCGAACATTGCACGAGCGACGAGCCGAAATAGTTTTTTCAATTGACCGGCGTCGCGTAAGCGGTCTTATTCGTCTTATTAGTCGTATTAGTCTATAGACTAGCGAGGATAAATCGTTATTTGTGTCCTGTGTGTGATCCGATATTATATTAAATTCTTTAATTTAACGAAAAAAATAAATTGCTTAATTCCTGAAAACTTTTAGTTGTGTGTTCGTGTGGTGAAATTTAATAAAAAGTTTATTTATCGTTCTCGATTTCGAAAGTTTTCTCGATTTAAAAAGTTTTTTTATCTTTCTCGATTTCGGTTAACCAAAAACTGATTTTTTTCCCGGTTTGATGCCCTGTGTAAAATAATAAACATTAAAAATTAAAGTAGTTTTTTTAAATGTTATCCTGGGGGCGGCCATACAGACTGGCACGCAGGCGGCCATATACCCAGGCACGGCCCTGGTTAAAGATGCTATATATGGCTATGCACTCGTGAACCCAGGGATTTAGGGATTAATGGTCATTCTTCTGTCATCTTTCGTTCACAGCCCCCGCTACCTGCATGAATACACTCAATACGCATTCATCTTTGTGGGCACTTGACGTAGATCAGATTTTTTGTCACTTCTACTTGCGATCGATATAATCGTTTCATTCTTCTTCATTATACCGAAATAAACGATGCCTGGCCAAAGAATTACCGACAGAAATGATGTTGTGTGTTTTGGGTAAATGTTCAGAAATTAATGAATATTATTTACCAAGGGCAAATTATCCGGAGACGTGCAGCGTTTCATGTATTCAATCGAATGACAAAAAGGGGATTACCACATGTGCACATCTTGATTATTGATAGCGAAATTACGACCCATAGAAAATAAGCAAGTGAAATAGATAATAAGCACTGGCATTCCGGATTCCGATCTAGAAGTTGTATGATACCATAGTTCGAAACATGGTTTAAGGTCCCAGGTCTGTTATAGAATTACGTTATAGATGACCCCGAACGGATCTGCCCATTCGTGCAACAGCTCTGGTGCGTGGCCCAACCACAGTTGTGCTCTGATTTCTGTCCAGCTTTTGTTATATGTTGGGTCCACAGATCTTTAGTTTCACCTTTATAGGACACACATCGCCAGATATGCTTTTAGCATATGGATTGTGTAGTATTAATATTGATACAGACCTCATTGACACTTGAGCAAACGGCAGCCAAAGCCGCGGTTAACAGTTAGTAGTATAATATTTTTACGTGTATATTACTTTACCATTAGTGCTATGACAATTTTTATGAATATTTGCTAAAGTAGGGAGTACACATGTTGAAGCAGTGAAAACTTGAACAGTTCTCACAAGTGAAATTCGAGAGTACGAAGAAAATAAGTTGTTATTTTGTTTATAAAATACACAATGGCACGGCGGAACTGCTACTCTATATGGAAATTAGGTGTGCTACATGTCTACGTACGAGGAGACACTTTAGTAGAATTATTTTCCGAAGTTTCCTATTAAACTAGTTAATTTTCCGGGTGTATAATATTTTGAAATTCCCCCAGATAGAAGGATACTGAGTAGAGAATGTAACATGCGTGTAGGCCGTTGACCTGTCGTTCTCCTTTTAAACATGATACAAAGGAATAGGCGGTTCTCGTGATGTTAAGTGATTACTTACGTTATAATTCGATGAAAACAAAACATGTTGTTAACTAACTCGTCAGGCAAAAGTATAAATACTTTCATTTAACGTTCGCCTTTTGTGAGACGAGTACGAATTCAATTAACCGCTGTGGTGTGAAGAAGGAAGCAAAACTTGCACAAACTATTACAATTTATATTCGTAAAAGTTCTTATAACTGTCTTTATGGTGGCTATCTTCCGAGTAGGGTATTCCGGTTCCACCCGACAACAGTATAAAGTACAGGTAGCGGAAAGCAATAACGTAACATACCTAGTTCTTTCTCGTCTGTATATGTGTGAAAAATTGTGGGTAGGCACCATTAAAATTGTGTTATTGGACTTGAAGGAT